TGATTACATGTGAATCACATGTAATTCATATGTGATTCACTTGTGATTTACATGTGAATCACATGTAATTCATATGTGAATTACATGTGAATCACATGTAATTCATTTGTGATTTACATGTGAATCGCATGTAATTCATTTGTGATTTACATGTGAATCGCATGTAATTTCTATGTGATTCACTTGTGATTTACATGTGAATCATATATAATTCCTATGTTATATCTATAACTTAGTCTTATTTTAATTTTTCTATAAAACGAAAATAATGTTATTTGTCTCAACACTTTTGGGTTTAATAAACCTTTTATAAATTTGTAAATAATGTAAAGAATAAAGTTAAAATTATATATTTATCTTTATATATTACATGAAAATTCATTTCGTTCCTACAACTAACGAAACATGGTCATGTAATGTAATTACTCATTCCATTCTATCCAAATGAATACTTAATTTGAAAGTTGAATGGAATATAATAAGTATCAAGTATCAAATAGTAGAATAAAAGACATTGTTTCCAAAACTTAATTGAAATGCCAATGTATTTCTCCGGTAGGATCAGGTATTCCAACATTGTTTGTTGTTTGATTACTAGAACTCCAATTCTCTCTGAAAGATTTCAAGCTTAAGCCTGTAACTCCAACTATTTAAAAAGGATCATAAAAAAATGGTCAGATAAATTATTATTCTAAATAGATAGAAAAATAAACAAAGAAGTCATTCATTATACATATTTCTGTTTCATAAACATAGCTATTGGATGATCCTCCCTTGCTGTAAATATCCAAATGAATATACAAAGGAGCAAAAATAGAACAAGTATAAGAAAGGCTCGTGCAACCTTGTTAATCATTTTACACCTCCCAAAACTATAAATACTAAAACAATAATAACAATAATCCCATAGACTTGTAGGTCATGTAAGCAATAGTAATAATAATCCTAAAAACTATAAATACTATCTACAAGTGAAGGCCCCAATCTATACATCTGAATCCATGAAAATATGGATGATGATTTTACTGTGATCCCAATTATTTGCATTAACAAAGTCAATTTCACTGAAAATATAACAAATTCTCCATAAATCTTTAAAGAAATGTTCCTACATACACCAAAGCTGAACTATTTTAGATGAAACTGAAAAAAAAATGAATACAGAGGAAGGATTATAAGAGAGAATGCTAACCAGATTTCTTGACTGGCAAAGATGAAGCATAAAATGTCTAGCAAAATTGCAGAAAATAATAGAGTTGTATAAGTTCTCCCGAGACACTCTCTTCCAACTAATCAACATCTATTTCATCAGTTAACATTGTATCAATGTCATAAGCGTTGACCTTCATATGCAGATGAAAAATTCAAAATGAAATATCATAAAATCATTATTCATATCATGTTTTGCAACCCTTAAACATAGCAAAAGCAAACACATAAGCATCCTTGATTTATAGTTTTTACGAGGTTTGTAACAGTTTGATAATCAGATCATTAATGGATTAGATACTTGAAAATGAAGAGAAAATTACGATCTTATTGAAAAATTGGAAACATTACCTTAGAAGTGAGAATAGCACTGAGAACAGAACATAGAGCTGCAATAGATGCTTTGTATCGGAGCCGAGCTTTATTGAGAGCTCCATTGATTTTATAGAAGATAATATCTGAAATCTCGATCCTATCGTATCTTCCAAATGTATTTTCCCTTCCATCGCCAACTCGTGTGTCGATTTCTAACTCGTGAAGGCCGTGTTGTTAGTCTCGTCTATTGATTTCGAATCTTAACACGAAATTGAATTTGTGGATTAGAAAACAATTACAAACCCTAATTTTTGCAATTGACTGAAACAAGAAGAGATGAGGCGACGATAGGAGGAGAGAGATTTCTCATCGTCGTGTTCTCTTTCAATCTCTCATCGATGTTATCCTAATCGAAGGAATCATCGTCGCAAAGGCGTAAAGACGTGTGTGTGTGTGTGTTTGTGTGTGTGAGGGAGAAAGAGAAGTGGGGGAGAGACGATGAGGAAGGCAATTAATCAATATGGTGACGATTATCGGAGGCGGCCATGGATTCCAAATGGTGGCATTGGATTTCATCAAACGATCAACGATGAAGTTAACATGATGAAGGTGTAGGGAGAGGGACGGGATGAAGAGAGAGAGAGAGAGAGAGAGAGAGAGGGGGGGGGGGGGGAAGAGTCGACGTGATTAATCTGATAATGGGGTATCAATTACAGTTTCCCTAAATGCCCCTGATTTATTTTAATAAGATGCCCCCGTCCCTTTTTATTTTCAGGTATTTACAAAAATGTCACAAAGCATCCTAACCCTTTATTATTTTAATCCAGTGGTCATTGTTTAGTTCTCGAGTTCTCGGAAACTATAAGTTCTCAAATGATCATTCCTCTCTCTCTCTCTCTCTCTCTCTCTCTCTTTCTATATATATATATATATATATATATATATATATATATATATATATATATATATATATATATATATATGAGGGTTCATGCGAAAATGCAAATAATTTGCGAAAACGCGAAAACAAGAGAAAACTATGAGATTATGTCACCTCAACCTTATATTTTTTATAGTAATTCATCCAAACTTTGAACTACATGATGATAATCGATGATACATAAGAAATTGTTTCATATTAGCAAAGCATGATTTTTGACATTTTTATTATGAAAACATGAATTTAAAAGTGGTTAAGGACGTGAAAAAAAAACATAATTGTTAAAACCGTCTTTAAATCTATATTATCATAACACAATTCAATGTAAACTTATTATCTTTAATCTATTGCTAATAAATTTAATTTTTATAGTACTTGTGTTTGATTTTTATAAGATAAAATCCGTTTTCGCAAGATATATATATATATATATATATATATATATATATATATATATATATATATATATATATATATATATATATATATGAAAAAGTTCAATAAAAAATCATTATTAAATCAAAAGTTCAATAAAGAACCATTATTAATCAAGTAATCAAGAAACCAATCCAAAGCGATCAACGACAAAATGAAGGGTTGTAGACTTTTACAATGGACGCACATGCACCGGATTATAACAAACTCACTTCTTTTTTTTCGTTTAAAATTTTTTTTAGGCCATGTTTTTTATCGAATAAAAAAACCGAATATACCGTTGTTCACGATTTTCCGTCCTCTTTCTATAGAGATCCATAATGATATATAAAAAAAACGAATTTCTTTTTTCGAAAAAAACTCATTTCATTTTCTTTGTTGAAAAGTTAAGGTCTATTTCTTTATAGAAAAAAAAAATTAATAAATATATCAAAGTTCATACTTTTTGGTACTTTTTAAACATAGATTCATATTGATGTTCAAAAAAAAAAAAAAAAACTATATTTCAGTTCAGATTCATATTGTGAACATGTTCAGATTCATATTGTGAACATGTTCAGATTCACATTGTGAACCTTCTCAGATTCACAGTGTGCATAATAGTAAGTCAGATTCACAATGTGAATCTGAACTGATCGAGCTTTTTCACATTGTGAATGTTAAAAATTGAAATATTTACAGTTTAGATTCACAGTGTGAATCTATACTGATCGAGTTTTTTTTTTAGTCGGTGTTAATGTTTATTAATAAAGTACAAAAAAATAATTTTTTTTGGTATAATTAGTTTTTTTTTGATAAAAATAAACTTAAATATTAAAAAAACTAACAAAATGAAATGAATTTTTTTCGAAAAAAAAATTGTTTTTTATATATCAACATGGATCTCTATGGAAAGAAGACGAAAAATCGAGAACAACAGTATATTCGAGTTTTTTTTTCGATAAAAAATGTGGCCTAAAAAAATTTTAAACGAAAAAAAGTTGTGGATTTTTGGTAAGGATGTGAATTTTTTGGTATAAACAGTATTTACTTAGCCGTTGATCATTATGATTTCTGACGCTCACGATTGATTCATTGGTTCCTTGTTAATTATTATTCTCTATTGAACCTCACTTATATATATATATATATATATATATATATATATATATATATATATATATAGGGTGAGGTTCAATAGAGAACCATAATTAACTAAGGAATCAAAGAACCAATCGTGAGCGTCGTAAATCATAACGATTGCCGTTGATCGCTTTGGATTGGTTCCTTGGTTCCTTGATTAATAATGGTTCTCTATTGAACTTTTCCCTATATATATATATATATATATATATATATATATATAGTTTGAAATTGCAATTTTTGAACTCCATTGTAAATTTCGAAATCTAGTTTTCTAAAAAAAAAAGAAAAAAAAAAGTAAGTTGGGAGATTGTTTTACCTGAATTTTCGGGACTCCACTATGAATTTCGGACATATTTTTTTATGAAAAGGTTGGTTTGCTATTTCGAACAAGGCAAAAAAAAAATTACCTCTATCTAATTGTCAGCCTATTTAACGTTGTCATGATTATGATTTCTAATACACAACCTATTCCAATTACAAGTTTTAGATGTCTTTGAACGTAATATATCGATGTGGACTACCATATAACTAGTTTCCAAACCACACATACAGTTTTGGTATAAACTGTGTAGTTTATAATTCAAGTTTTTCTCAACTAAGTTGCTGTCAAACCAAGAGTTGACCATGAGGAAGTTGCTGTCAAACCAAGAGTTGACCATGAGGAAGTAGTTAGATGACCATGAGCAAGGTAAACTCTATCTTAACACCTAATAACCTAAACAGGCCCCCATGGATCAATTCTTACCTACAACTTGACCAATGGCAAAAAGACCAATATACAGCTTATAAATTTCCTGCAGGCCAACATCAAGGATGCGAATGTGTCCTACCGCCACAAGTTGGCTGTCTTCCTGGACTAGGGACAAGCTCAAGGATGTTGTGACCGCTTGATGATAACTCCAACACAAACAACCTCTTGTCAGACTTTACCTTATATCACACGTGTGTCTCCAAGTATGCAACTTTATGATAATCTTTAAAGCAATACAGTTGTAGCCTCACTTGGAGTAAACCCTAACTTCTGCATCTCCTCCAACCATACTTTACCTTCACCCGCCCTACCATGTCTGTAAAACCCATGCACCAAAGTCTCATAAGTCCACTGATTCGGCTTATACCCTTTCTCACAAATCTTCCGGAACAATCTAGAAGCATCATCCACCTGTTTCTTTATTAGTTTCCTCAAAAGCATATTGTATGTGTATATATCAAGTGGAAAACACTTCCCCACTACTTCCTCCAACTCATCAATATCTATATCGTCTCTAAACCGATCAGAAAACAACCCAACCAACTCGCCGAGTTTCCACATAGGTGACGACTGAGTCGACTCGGTGGGTAGTGTGTCAACCCAAGTGCTGTATAGGTTTTGATCTTTTAAAGAATATAGAAGCAAATTGTTCCCGATAAAAGACGATAAAGGACGCCCAACTTGAATCATGTCACTGATAACATCCATGACTTTGTCATATCTTTTGTATTTGCATAAAACGTATACAAGTTCTTCATAACATTCAAGACTCGGTCTCAAATTCTTCTCTTTTTCTCTAATTTCTAAAAAGATGCTCAAAGCAATGTCGGGTTTATTTGCTTTGCATAAACCAACAACAATCGTGTTGAATACTTTTCTCCCAATTTTTCGTTTTTTAGAAACATCATAGAATAAAGTCAAAGAATTGGATACTTTTTCACTTGCTAGAAAACTTTTCAACAGTAAAATATCCGCACTCACATTAGGAGAAATCCCATTTCTTTTCATCATTTGATAAACTTCTTTAGCTAAATCAGGTCTTTTAGCAATCCCAGCTCCTTCTATAAAATGATTAAAAACCCAACACCCGAGTTTCTGAACAGACAACTGCATTTCCAACAACTTTTGAAACTGTATTTCGGGATTTTCCATTTCACATATGCTTTGAATCACACCACAAAACAAGTTCCGGCTAGGGGTATGATGTTTTTCTTGCATTTGTATCAATAACATTGCTGCAATATCACCTCTTTTGCGATTAATAAACCCATCTATCAAAGAATTGTAAGCAAATTTGGGTGTGACTTCATTTAACCGGTTTAATTCCACGTGTCTGATATACCCATCTTCTAATCTCCCAATCCTACAAAGGGCATTTATGTACTTTTCATGAAACTTATCACTCAACATAATCTTATGTTCCAAAGCAACACGAAACAAGTCATCCATTATGTCAACTTTTTCCACCTTGCATAAAGCATCAGCCATGATAGAAAACGCGGTTTTTCCCGGGAAATACCCTTGATCAAGTGAGTTTTTTAAAATACGATATGCATCAATGACGCTTCCGTCCCTACAAAGGGTATTCATTAAATAATTAACAGCCATTGAACTCAAAGATAATCCAATCTCTGTTCTTGAATCGTATAATTTTACAGCAATATCCACCATTCCTGCTTTACAAAAAAAGCATAAAACAATGTTCATTGTTAACTCATCTGGAGGGATATTGTTTTCCCTCATTTCAATCACTAAATCACATACTTCTTCGAGTCTGTTTTCTCTTAGAAGTCTTAAAATCAAGGAGTTGTAACGAAAAACATCCGGAACATAAACAGCCGTCTTTTGGTTCCTAGTTTTTTGCAAAAACTCCATAGCTCCATCTAGCTTTCTAGCACGAACGAGTTCCCGAATCCATATATCATAAACATGAAATTCCCCAAATTCATCGACTAATTTCCCAGCTTTATCAAACTCATTGTTCTTACATAACCCATCAACAAGAGCACCAACTATATAACCACCACTTTTTATCTTAATCCCACTATTAATCACCCCACGAAGATAACTTTCAGCTTTATCAAACTCCTTTTTCCTACAAAAACTCTTAACCAAAATCGAATAAGTGATTTCGGATTCAAGACCACGATTCTTGATCTGTGTAGCAACTGAGTCAACTCCATCAAAATAACCCTCTTCCACTAAAGCATTTAAAAGCACATGATAAGCAAAATCATCTAAATCAATACCTTGGTAACGCATACGTCCGAATAACTGAAGGGCAATTTCGGGTTTTCCCGCCACAGCATAACCCATGACTAAAATGTTGTGAAAGTTTGACTTATGACCCCCTCGAAGCTTGCTATAGCTGTCTAAATAGTAAAACATTAAAGACATCAGCTTTGCTCTTGAAAGGATCTTGAAAATTGCATGGAATGTGGCTCGGGAATGGTGAAAACCGGGTTGTCGACCCGCCCAATCGAAGAATTTGGTACAAGATAAAACATCTTTCCCGTATGATAAAACATCAAGAACAAGTGACTCTGTGAGGTGTAGGTTTAGAGAAGATAAAGCTGCATCTATGGCTTCACGTTCAACTATAAGATCTTGGTTTTCAATTGAAGATAAGACTTCAAGGATTTGGTCAAGAAGAGGGTTTCCACTTGACTTGAACCATTCACGAAAGGTTAATACCAAATCATCTGCTTGTAATTTGTGGGATGGTGATGAGAAAGATGGGAATAATGGGTTTAAACTGAGAGGATTGGTGGTGGTGGATGCTGCTAATGTTGAGTAGTTGATGGGATTGTTGGTGTTGAGAGGAGAAAGGAGGGCACGGATGGAATTTTGCTTTAGGTGTCTTAGTCTCACCATAATTTGTGAAGGGGATTTGTTGTAAGCTACTGTATTAACAAGGTTTTTTTTCTTGACGTCTGCATCGCAGCAAAGTTTAGATGTGAATCCTAGAAAAGTGCAAGATTTAGGTTATTCACAAAATGAGAGGCATTGTAGATGATTTGTTCTTTTCTAGGGTTTGCAAGTTTATTTTATTTCAAAAATCAAGAATTCATTTTTGCATATATGAAATAATGATCAAAATTACTTACCAGATGCTTATTATAAGATTGTGAAAGAGATCAATTGGATCCGGTTTTGAAAGTTTGCAACGCCTTGTCTTTTGAAGTTCAGGAGTGTCTAAAAGATCTGGAATAAGAGCACCATTAATGACAATCAGATACTAATATGATAAAATGTAGTCAAGGTACTTGCATTAGTTTGTATATTAGTGATTACACAAAGGAAGGTTAAAAAACTGGGAAATAATCCAGAAGTATCATTCTTAAATCAACCAAAAACACATGTATTGATATGCAGGAAATTAAATTAAGTGGAGATGAATTGCTATCCAAGTTCAAATGAAATGGTTATGCATTCATATTAATAGAATATACCTATTAAAGAATCATACCAAATCAAAAACTCATCTCTACCAGCTGTGATTGGGGAAAAACCATGGTATCAAACAAGTAAATATGCAGCACTCGGAAATCCAATAGCAAACAGATCTTATAAGAGCTTGATTTAAGCTAGTTAACCTCACTTATCCAGCAAGAAATGTAAAGCTCATCTCCATTTCACAGTTGGTTTGGAATTACTCGAAGTATATAGTGGCATTAAACCTAAAACTGGAGAAACACTGACAAACATCCATCGATTAACAAAAAAATGCCCCGAGTTCACCTAGTTCTTCTACTATCTATCACATATATACATCTTTTTTTATGAAATGCAGTTCTTCAATTCGAGATAAGCCAAAAGAAGATCAAACGAGCACATCAGTAATTCCTTTATACAGATTCTAGCTTCATTTAATTGACGAAGAACCGAAAGCAAAACGCTGAATCACATACCTTTACTGTTACTTTTGAGAACGTCGAGTGGAGAAGCAGTAGGCCGGAGATGGAAGGAGACGGCGAGGTAGGGCGGCAGACGGCAACGGCGAGGAGAGAAGGAGGCGAGATAGAAGAAAACGCATCAGGGAGAGATACCACTGGCAGTAGGTTTGAATGTTCGATAGACTTTCTTTTTAGAAAAAATATATTATTCTATAAATAAAGTTAAGAGTATATCGACTATAAATAATTATTATTTTATTGAATTACTATTTTTTTAATTATTTTTAATTTCTTTTAATTGTTTTCTTTATTATTTTAAATCAAAAAACCTTTAAAAAATCTAGTTGTTTAATAACATTAAATTAGCAAAATTGTTAAAATATTGACTTTTTTATATTTTATCTCCATTTAAACTCATATTTAAAATAAGTATTTCTTTCATATAAATATATATCTAGTTGTTCAGTAAAAAAAATGTAAATACGTTTGTGTAGGGTATACATCGAAAGATTCGACTGTTCACTAACTATATAGTAATAACATAAATTACTAGATAATAAAGTTGATAGATATATTAGACTAAGGTATATTAAAATAGGGTGTCTTTAACAACATCCTATTTATATTCGGTTCTTTTTATCCATTGTCTTGCATAAAATTCTGAAACGTGAACTTAAAGACATTGATATTCAAGTTATGTTGCAGAAACAATATAATTGTTCTTGTTTTGTTCTTATATTGAACTTGCACAATGACATTTTCCTATCTTCAAGGTAATGAAATTAGTAGTAATACTTTTTAGATGTTTAGGATTGTGTTTTAAAATGACCTATTGGTTTTTTTAAAATCAATAAGTTTAATTAAATATTTGGCAATTGCATGTGTTACTGTTAGTTGTTCGATCTTTATTTTTTAATCTATGAACTGAATTTGTTTTCTAGTTTGCATAGTATCTTAACAGATCTTAAATCTGTAAACTTGTTTGATTTTTTGTATCTCAAACGTGTTAAGCCCTGGATGTGAATTTGTAAGCGCCAAACTTGTTTAATTTACGGTATGCATTGTGTGTTTTAACAGATTAGGCTATGCATATGTGTTCAACATTTGTAGAAAAAATGTATTTAAAAATACTAAATATGTAAATATCTTTTTTGTTATTTCACATATATAAACTAATCCAAAACATATTTATAAAAATAATAATAATAATAATGATAATAATAATTATTATCAACTTATAACTTTTTGAAAGACAATTAAAATTAATCCGAATACTTTTTTAAAAACTCATTTTTAAGCTAATTAACACTTATCAAACAATGCTTATTTGGTTAAATAAGAAATGCCAAATACCCCCTTTTATTTTAAAAAAAATGTAATATTGACTTGATACACTACAAAAAAAAATAAAAAATAATAATAATAATAATAATAATCATTTATAATTAAAAATAAACTTAATTACACAAAATCTATTGGGCTTGCAAATTGTAATAATTACCAACATACAAACAAGGAATGATTTTGAATCTCACGAAACATCCAAACATCCAAACGTAATTCAAGAAATAACAACGTATTTCCATAGATTTATTATAACATCTCATTTTCATTTTTTTTTCCAATTACAACATTCTGCTTTGAAAAGTGTGCCCAATTATAACAATATTATCCAAATAACAGGCAACTTCAATGCCATAACAATGTACATTTCTTACAATATAATGTCCTAAAAGAAAAAAAAATCAAAGTAAAATGCCTTAATAAGAAAGAATAAAAGATAAAAAGTACAATACTGTAATTTAAAAAAGTTACAATACATAATCAAACAAATATCAATTAAATTACTGTGCATGGTTTGAAGGTTTAAGCTTTAAGCATTCTTTCTAGTAGCATACACTCGGTATGCAGCAAGCCCCACAACAGCAACTGCGGCCCCCACTGCAATAATCACAGAAAACAAATTTCTTGTTTGTGAGAGTCTGAATGTCGGTAAATTACTATTTTACCCTTTTGAAATACATAGCCACTACCTGAAACAACCATTAGAGAGCGGTTAAGAAGCCTGTGATAATGTTTTCGAGTTTTCCCAGCTTCAGTTTCAGGGATGCTCAAATGTGGATGCTCTGCAGCTCTCATAATTCTTCCAAATATATTATTGAAATCTCCCAATTTTGTGCTTATAGGTATAGGAGCCTCTATTCCCATATCCTGACTAACCTATATAAACAAATACTATTACCTTTCTTAAATAAACACTCACTTTTTTAATTCAATACGTAAGGGTAAAATGGTCATTTACTCTCTCATTCAGACAGTATATTCAATCCGAAAAACAATTTAGTCTTTAAGATTATATATGGTTGTTTCTTTTTGACTTGATACAAAAAGAAAAGACTCGATGAGAATAAATGACTATTTTACCCTTATATATATATATATATATATATATATATATATATATATATATATATATATGAGTGTTTCTTGTCTTGCACAACAAAACAGGCAATAATGTTTCTTTAAACATGCTTAAACAGTTAATTGTGTGCTGAAAGAAAAATTTGCATCCATCAATTCAAGATAAAACTACAACTGTAACTATTATTAATAAAGATTTGTACCCTTGTTGAGTCTTGTATTGCTGTTGGGTAAGGGTCAAAATCGTCTTTTGCTGCAACAATCAGACAAGGAACCTCATAGCCAGTAGATTCCCCATGGCTGGCAATTTCCACAAGCAATTCAGTTGCTCTTATCCATGAAGACTCCTTAGAACTGGATATACCAAAAGAAAACTTAATTCACAAATAGACAACTAGTAACTAACTTCAAAAAAACCAAATTCAAAAAAAATATAAAACCAAAGAACTAAGCTTAGGGTTTACAGTATACAGTCTAGGGTTTAAGGTTTAGGGTTTAGTGTACATGACACAGATTTTCTTAAGTATGTGTTTGTTACATAAAACCACTTAATCAAATCAAAGATATATTGAAATGACACAATTCATCAACTAGGTTTTAAGGTTTAGGGTTTAAGGTTTGTGGTCACCTGTCATGAACAAAAACAGCTATGTCACATGCTGCCAAAGCATCCTTATTCAATAGCAACTTCTCAATTGCATCTTCAGGTATCTCTCGCAATATCAAGGTTTTCTTTGTTCCCTATATGCAAAACAAAGTAAACTAAACTAAGATTCTGTTTCTTTCTCACTTGATGAACAAGAATTCATTATTCACACACAGACTATCAAAAGTTGATGAAATTACATCAGGCTGATCAACAACATTAACTGCATATCTTTCCTCAATGGTTGGTGTATAACCTTCAACAAATGGCCTGCCATTTGAAAAAGATTTTCAGAATAAAAACAAATTTGAAAGGAAAGCGTTGAAATTTGAAAATAATTATAGAATTTTAGATGAAGAGTGAAGACCTTCCAACAAAAGAATTCAACAATGAAGACTTTCCAGACTCTTTTGGTCCAAAAACAAAGCACTGGAAAACATTTCTGTCTGAGTGTTTCTTATTGCGATCTACACGTCTTTTCCTTGTAACACGGATTGCAGATGAAGGGTCATCTGCATACCCGATGTATATGAGATTCTCCACACTACGGATTGGATCTAGAAGTGTCATAAGAGCCCACTACATCCACAATTGACAAATTGTCACATACATATATCGCAATTTTTGTTTGTGGAAAAGACGTGAACGCCCTTCACATCCTCACTGTGTGAATTGTCAAAATAGTAATTCAAGTAATATACCTGTGACAAGAAGCCATCAAGTGAGAGTCTTTCCAATGCATTCTTCTCAGCTGCATTTGCATATGGTGCTTCACTCCATGGACTGAAATGTATAAAATTTGTGAAATAGAGAATGAATGTCCATGAAGATGGGAGTTTGGAGAAAACTCGAGCCATGGGTTTGGAAATATAAAACTAATAGTATTTAAAAAAATACTTGAATAGAATAATGAAAATAATAAGTAAGTTGAATATATGAATATACTTTTCGGGTGCTGTAGAAAAAAGATCTTCCAGCTCAAGTTCGTTAAGAGCCCCATCCTGATTAAAAGAATCATATTTTTAGTATCTTGAAATGTATAATGAACAAAGTTTGATGAAATGAGAAATTGTATACTGAAGAAAAAAGAATATTAGAACATACACCATCAATATCAAACAAGGAAAAAACTCCTCTGAGAAACTCAACAGCTTCACTTGTCAGCTCAATGCTCTACAAAATCAAAGACAAAATCACTAAAAACCTCAACCAATCATATGCAAAAATAAAAACTAATTGCAACATGGTTTTATAAAGCACACATACATAAATGCACTGATAAAAACAAAACCTGATCAGGGGATCTTGTAATAGGAGGAAGAAGTTGATCATCAGAAAGCCTTATATCATTATTGTATCCAAATTTCCTTAAAACAGTCCATGTTGTTTCCAATCTGCCTTTTTCAATAAATAAAGCATGAAGAAAAAGGAAGCCTGTCAAAGTGAGACCATTTTCATTGACTCCTTCAGACAGCTTATCTTGTACAACTCTCTTTACACCTACTATTTCCGAAGGTTGTAAGGGAGCATTAAAACATTTCACCTGTTCACAATTGTAGAATTTTAAAAATGTTTCCCACTTAAATCTCCAAAACAAGATATAAAACAAAACAGAAGTACCTGGAAATCATTCAACTCTGCATCACTTAGAGCACCATCTCTATCATTATCACAGAGTATAAAGATTCGCTTTAAAGCCCTGACACAACGTGGTTTTAGGGTTTGTGCTTCTTGATCAAATAGAGGAGCTGTTGGATGAAGCACAGCTTTCTGTGCATAGTAAAATACCTCTGGAAGCTGAAAAAATAGAGCATTATAGGGGTTTCAGGAATTAGGACTAGAAACTGAGTTATATAACAGATTATAGGTTATAGATGTATCTTTCTTATTCTTACCTGAATATGTTTGAAAGCTGAGCATTCAATACAAGTTTCAATCTCCCGAAATTGTTGCATTATTGGTGACATCACTTGCTCTAAACTAACAGCTTGTTCATCCCTTAAATCCAGCTTACACCCTACCACTATAACAGGTACCTTTACCTGCTCACATAATGCATAAAAGCAGTATTAGAACACGATTATAGGTGCAGGATAATAGAATACGTACTGATGCAAAACGATACCTCTAATCTTCGAAGTTCAGGAAGCCAAAATGTACTCAATCGATCAAGAGTAGAGGGCTTATCACAGGCATAAGTAAGAACAACCGCATCTGCACTCTTCAGTTCCTCAGCAAGTCTGCCTCTATTCTCCATACTAAAAAACATCACATAATCAAGTTTTCAGTTGACTGTGTCCACATATATAGGGGTATTTCTTATAATCTCTTCGTTTTTAATCTAAAATTTCAGGTCTACCAATAGAGAACTCGATTATAACTGCATCGACTTGGCAATAAATCGATTCTTACTAAAAACTATTGGCGACAAAAGTAGTAACGATACTGATTTCATTTTTGAATTGGTCGGAGATAGTATTGGGATGTTACCTAGCAGACGTATCAATGACGTTGACGGGGACACGGTCGGGAAACATATCCTCCGGCAACCGAGTAGGAGGCAAAACGGGAGGGACATTGGCGGGGAAAGCTTCAGCAGCAGCAGTGACAATCAGGCTTGACTTACCGGTGCCGCGGTCACCGGCAACAACGATTCGAATGGTGGTGGTGGAGTTGGAATTGAGAGCAGAAGCACCTCCAGCCATCGACAGAATCAGAGGTGCAGAATTTTGATTAGTGAGGCGGCTGGTTTTTGGGGTCTTCTCTTTCGTGCTGACAAACTCATAAAACCTGGTATTCGTTTGCGCCTTGTAGAAAAGGGTTTCGGTCAAAATTACATATGCGATTATTTAAATCATTTCATTTACATTTCAGTTTTATTTAAATCATTTCATTTACATTTCAGTTTTATGTCAATGTTGTTGAATATTAAAATAACCATCTCCTTATACTAATAAGTTTCACAGTTCTGTTTTGATAGATTTTCGTTTCATATTAGCTAATTTATTGACATTGTCATTTAGATCTACATAAACTATTGTTTGTTTCTAAACTTTTTTTTGACAGTTTTACCATAGTTGTTGAATGACATTTAGACTTTAAGGGTAGTATTGGTAAATCACATTATGCATTCAAAGCCCAACTTTAATAATTTCCTAATATTATGGAGAATAGACTTTCCATATATCATGATATTGAATCCATTTCACAATTATCAGGAGATATATGTTTGTTATAAACGAGTTCGTGTTCATAGCATACGACCAAAAAGAAGGTATACAATAGCATTGAAGAAATATCCAGTCTTATGGAGCAGTCAGTCATTGTTAATTTGTTATGTCTGAGTTTAATAATATTTTTTTATATGTTCTTGATATATAATTGTTGTTTTTAATAATATAATTTTTTGATGTTGAGGGTTCTGTAAGTTCAAGTGAACGGATTGATCAGCATGTTCTTGTGCATGGAAAGTCATTTTTGATACCATGGGTACATTCAGATATTAAGCCTAAACTAAAGGGTATTTACTCATCTTATTTGTTGTTGAAGACATGTATTATAAATATCCTGTTGAATCAGGTTTTGATGTTGGCAAGTACACATAAAAAAATTAAATGGAGTGGTTAGGCTTAAATATTTAGTATGTAACAAGCAAGTTGTTCCTAATACATATCATGTTGATACATTGGGTCCAAGTAAAAGTAAGATACAAAGAAGATTTGATACATGGAGGTGTGAATGTCTGTTAAATCGTTGTTGCGCACGATTTAAACAAATAATATTTTCAATTGTTGGTTGCACTAATGGGTAGCACACGGAAGCGGGGACACATAATAATGGTCAATGCCTCTTTGCGTAAGGCACATTCTAGTCAAAACAGAAAATATAAAAAGGCGGATTTTGATTACTAACTAAAGACTAAAATTGTAGTGAAAATAAACTAAATAAAACTCAGTAATAAAAACAAATTCAGTTTTGCTGCAACTTTCTTAATCATGCAATCATCTCAGATTTGGTTGTTCAAAATGCATTCTATCTTAGTTGATACTGAAAAAAAAAAACTAACAGACTCTACTATAATCTCTTTTACTTAGTTAAATTAACCAAAACAAGCTTTTCAGTTAACCCTAACTTTTTATTGTCTAATTAAACAAGCTCTTAGTTAATATCTAAAAAGTTGCATTAAGATATGTGTAAAATTCTCAGCAATACCCAATACTTCTCACAAGCTCGGAAGCGTAAAGGTATGAAATTTCAGTTTATATCAGATTTAAATCCCAACACGGAACCAATATGATACTTGTTACTTATTACTAGTTGATAAGAACAATTACGGATTCTACTAGCTGATTAACTGGAATTATTAAACTCTAGCTATGTGATCAGACTAACAAGAATCAAAATCAAACATTTATTAAGTATGTCAGAAGCTTCGGGAATCATTGAAATCAAACTTCTAAATCTTACTAAAATAACTAAGAGTCACGATCCATAGTCTTCAAATCTTCCGAAATCATTGAAATCAGAGAGAAATTGCGTCATAAATTGTCTTTTTCGTCGTCTGGAGTTTCAGGAATCGGTTTGGGTTCAATCTGATCAGAGGGTTTATATTTATATGCATGTCAGAAGCTTCCGGATCAAGTTAGCCAAAACCACAATCGTATGTATATATATATATATATATATATATATATATATATATATATATATATATATATATATATATATATATGCGATCTCATTTTTTCTCAAAATCTCCAAATCTATCCGTTAATGAAGTACAATATTATTTTCGACATTTTTTTGAGTTGCATCATGGAAATGCAATCGCATTTTTTGTGAGTTTTCCCTCTGGCGACCTTTTCGATCTTAACAATCCTCTATCAACAAATGCGATCGCAGATGTCTAAAAATACGATCGTATTTTTGGCTTTTCGGTCGCAATTCTTCAGTTTAAGCATTCAAAGTCATTCCTCAACATCCTTATTCAGTTCCAACTCCATTTAGGCTCCAAATATGCATCTAAATGCTCCCAAAGTATCGTTCCACTCGAATTATCTGAAAACGACACAAAAACGCTAGCAATACGAGAATTATGACGAAAGACATGAGTTAAACATTATTTAAACTAATGATAAGCAAATGTGCAAATTATGATGCTAAATGTTAATAAAAACTACCCTAAAACATGCATAACATGGCATCTATCAAATCTCCCCAAGTTTGAACCTTATTTGTCCTCAAGTAATAAAAAGATTAAACATTATAAACAAATGGAAAGATGTAAATGACCTAAAAAGAATTTAGAATAAAAATTGAAATAAACAAAAGGAAACTAAAAACTTGAATTAAAAACTCTTCACTTTTTTTTCACATGATCAGACTTAAGATCGAGGGAAGCTCCAATGGAATCACTACCTAGACGATCATTACCTTCCATCTTTCACAGATTCCCAAAGTCAGGAAGAATCTTGACGGTGTGAACCAGTAAACCAATTGTAACTTTTGTTTAAACTTTATACATTAATTAACCTTGCAAGCGAAAATTACATATTTCAGAATTTCTTGTTAAGAACCAGGCTCGACGCATCCTTAAGAACATGTCACGTCAAATCAACTTTTGTTGAAGCAGTGGGCCACACCCATAGGGGCCTATCTCCTATGCTTTCACTTTTCTGAGAACGACAAATATCATATCACACAATTCTTCATTCGCGCTAGATTTGACTTTGAGATAGCTTCTGATATGACTGAACTTGAAATTTTATATCTTTGTCTTCACCTTGAGTTCTTCAATCAACTTTTTGAATTTCTTGAGATGTCTTCGATTAAGTGTTTGAACTTTAACTTGAGTATCATATATGACAGTTCGTACCCTTCCTTTCTTTTTTACTGTGTGGATCTGATATAAGGTTCTCTGTTATCGTGAAGGTAATGTGCGTCAACAAATAGGTTTGTGTGTTGGATTAGGTATCTAAGCCGATAACTAAATTAGTATAATCTTAAATTATTAGCAAAGTCATTTTGGGTTGCCATCAAACCTAGTATTTGAATGGGATGACTTTTAGAGAGAGAGAAAGAGAGAGAGAGATTTATTAATTTATTATGTGATTAATAAATTAATTATAAACCAAAATAAATTTATTAATATGTTCTGAAAATAATATATTAATTAGAAATCATATTATTTAATTACTAATTAATCGAAAATTAATTAGAATTAAGTTTGGGATTTATTGGATTAATTAAAAGTGTAGTGACTGTTTTGTTATTTATTGAAAGTTGAAGCAGGAAAGCTCTAGAACCTCATGGAATGAGGTGGACAAAAATTGACTAGGGTAAGCCTAAATTTTTTATCCATAGGTTAAGGGATAAGCAAATAAGGCAGCTTGATTATTATATTAATTAATCCAGGCTTTATCCCATAAACCCTAGCTTTGGTCCCAAGTTTCCTTCAGTTATATAAAGACCTCCCTGCCTTCACAATTTCGTCCATCCCCTTCTCACAAGCATTAGGCCGAAATTTTGAAGCTCTCTCTCCTCTCTCTTTAAGCATCTTTGATTCTAGGGTTGGGTGCGAACCATTAGAGGCACGCCATTTATGGTGCTAGCTACAAGCAATTTCAAGAAGGATTCTACTTCGATTATCTACTAGCATAATCAAAAGGTGTGTTTTCTTTACTCTTTTATTTATTTTGAAAATACTAGTGCAATATTAGGGTTCTTGATATTCATAGTGATTATTGCATTCAATATTGAAAACCTAGATCCTTAGGGTGTATGCAAACTTAGGGTTTTATCTTTTCCGCCAAAAATATGATTTTTGTAATCTATAAAACCCATCAATGGTATCAAAGTGTATGTTTTCAACTGAACTGCATAATAGTTGAATAGATCAAGATTAGGGTTTATAGAAATTAAACCCTAAAAGACCAAAATTTCGATTTGGGCTAGGGTTCTTGAAACTCTAGCCTTCACACCTTTTTTCGAAATTCCTAGGGTTTCCCTATTTGATAATTATCATTTTTAAATTGTTTAAAATTGGATAATTAAATAAAATTGGATAACCCTTATCCCCTTTAATTTTCGAAAATCTAGTTAGGAAGGGACTAAGATTAAACTTAAATTATTTAATTAATAGTTAATAGTAAATAATTATTTAATCCTTATAAGATTTAAATTAATTTAATTAATTGTTAATTAAAAGATAAAGATTAAATCTTATTGGTTTATTTTAAATTAAATTTAAAAAATTAATTTCGAAAAAAGTAAATGAAATCTTAATTTCAAAAATTTAATTTAAACCTAGTATTTTAAAAAAGTTTTAAAATACACCTTATATTATATGTAAAATTAAAAGTTTAATAATTACTATATGTATAAGACTAAGTCAGTCAAATCGCAAGTACGCCTCATTCACGAAGTCATACTATAATGGGAGTTTAAGGAAGCGGCTTATAAAATGACCGAGATTGGGTATCCATTCTTACCCACCGTTCTCTTGTATGGTGGAGGGTCGTTAGCCGAAAGGATTTAATATGACATAACCTCATTAATAAGTATAATGTTAAATAAGCAACTAAACCTTTTATAAAATCTCACTCTTAGTTACTTTAGGAAAAATGTGAAAAGTATGATAATCCATGAAATTGCACATTATATTTTATAGTAGTTAGTAGAGCGCGTATGGTTAACCGACACACTAACAGTGATTATAAAGAGTAATAATGGTCATCTTAAAAATTATCATTGATTAATGGAGCGTGTGTGGTTAACCGGCACACTAAAATGAGATGATAAATGACATCAAGAGTGCTAAGCATATTTGTGTGGTTAT